TCCCCCCCAAGGGTGCCCCTCCCCCACCCCTAGGGCACCCTTCTGCCCCCGTTGCCCCGCAGGGGTCCGGCCGAGCTCATACCGCCCCCCCGTGCCCCCCCAGGAGCCATGTCGACGCTGTTCCCGTCGCTGCTGCCGCGGGTGACGGAGACGCTGTGGTTCAACCTGGACCGGCCGTGCGTGGACGAGAACGAGCTGCAGCAGCAGGAGCAGCAGCACCAGGCCTGGGTGAGCGCGGGGCCGGCCCGGGGGCCGCTCCTCCCCGCCCTGTGGCGCCCCCGCCCCTGGGGGGCAGCGAGTCGTGAGGAGGGCGAAGGGAGACGACAGGCTCTGCGTGTAGTCAGGACACTGCGCCCGAGCGGATGCCCAAGTGCCCCAGAAGCAGCCGCATGTTTCTGTCCCCAGCTCTGCTTAGCGCTGCAGGCCTCAAGTGCTGCAGGTTGCTGATGACTCGGGTGGTTCCTCTTCCTGGCCTGGGGCTGCCCCAGCAGGGCTCGAACTCGCGCGGTCCTTGCCCTGCGGCTTGGTGAGCCGCGCGCCCCGTGCTGACGCCTCTCCGTTCTCTCCCCAGCTCCAGAGCATCGCGGAGAAAGACAATAACTTGGTCCCCATTGGGAAGCCGGCCTCAGAAGTGAGCATCGCGCCCCCTCTTTCCGTGCTGCTGAGTTTCCCGTTTGGGGAGCACGAAGCCTTTGAGTTGTGGTGTTAACACCTGCAGTGTGTCAGGCGTGTTATTTCAGTGCGCACACCACTCCCTCCCTTCTGGATCCTGCTAGTGCAACAGATCACACGCCTTCATACCAAACAGCTGCTTTCCAAGGGTGTTTCCGGAGGGGCTGCTCGCATGTGGGTCCTTGGTGAGGCGGGGAGCAGGGTTGAGCTCCATTCAGTGGCTGCTCGAGTCTGCCCCAATGCCCTCCGCCGGCACATGGGACCTGCTGCCTGCCCCCAAGACGGGAGGGGAGCTCTTCTCCGCCCCCCTGCTCCAGTATGGACAGGAAGTCATTCTGAACCGGGACTGCCCCTGGGGGATCTTCCCCATAAGGAAAGGGGCCATTGTGTCCTTCAGTAGGGGCACATTTCCCTGTGGGGTGAGGGGGGCATCTCTGCACCCTGACAGGGTGTGGGCAGGTGATTGCAGGGTGGAACTAGAGGCCATGGGAAACCTGCGGGTGCTGAGGGGTGGGTGAGGCCCGTGAGCTGGGCATGGGTGCAGGGGTCCCTAGACTGCGAGAGGGCTGGGCTCTGACTGCTGTGGTCGCCCCCGTACCTACAGCACTACGACGAGGAGGAGGAAGAGGACGATGAGGACGACGAGGACAGTGAGGAGGACTCGGAAGATGACGAGGATATGCAGGACATGGACGAGATGAATGACTACAATGAGTCCCCAGATGACGGAGAGATCAATGAGGTACGTTAGGTGGGGCCAACTCAGCATCCTCCCGGTGTGGGCAGGGGTCCTGCAGGGCAGAGGAGCACGTCCCCTTCCCCTGCCCTGCTGCCCTTCACTCCCACAGGGCAGCAGGCTCCTTCTCATCCTGCTCTGGGTCTCCTGAGCCAGTCTTGGTCCCATGTACTGGGCTTTCCCAGGGTGAGGCAGCCTGCATAGAGCCTTCCCGGTTCTCCTTGTAGTACCCCATCTTGGGGTGCCTTGCCTCCCCACTCTGCTGCCTACGTTTGCCTGAACGACAGGCGAACCCTGTCATCTGAGGTCACGTAGACCCTTGCCCACACAGCCACTGAGCCCAGACAGCCTTTCCCCCTGCCACCACACTGCAGGTCTCCTCAGGGTCCTTCCTGTCCCCGGGGTCCCTGCTAGCCGTGGGCTCACTGGAGCTGAGGGAGCAGTTCTGTTGTTTCCTCTTTCCAAGGTGGACATGGAAGGAGCGGAGCAAGATCAAGACCAGTGGATGATCTGATGCAGCAGCAGCCTGGCCAAGCGGGAGGCTGCTGACATCTGCTGCCTGACATGCTGAAGGGTTGGGGGAGAACTCTTCCCCCAGCTTGGGGTAGGAGTTTCCAAGGGGCCCCAGCTGGCCGAGGAAGGAGTACTAGGCCCTGGAGGATGTGGCACAAATGTCATGGGAGCTAGATGCTGGCTCCATCCTGGGCTCTGCAGAGAGCTGACTGGAGGGAGGCTCGTGGTGCTGGCGCCTGGACCCATGCCCAGCCACTTCACACAAAGGCAGCGCCTGTTCCCCGCTGCCCCTGCTGGGGTTGGAGGGGCAGTTGGCATGGGCCAGGCAGGAGGGCCTGGCTCTGAGTGGCCAGAAAACCCCATCCTAGAAGTGTTGGGGATCTTCTAATAAATGACTTTTTAAAGAAATGCCGTCCTGGTGTTTATTAGCAACATCAGACCTACAGATCTACCGTGCAAGCCTTGCTGTGTGTCGTACGTAGCCAGTGTGACCGTGTTTTCCCCTCTCCCGGGGCTCTCAACCTACAGAGCTGTTCTGATGCTGAATTCTTCCTGTAGCCTGCCCAGGGCTGGTTCCCACCACTCCCATACTACTACTACTAATAATAATGCATGGTTTCTAGCCTACGTGATCCATCAGGTTGATGTCCTGCTCTGCGGTGAATCGGAGCTGCTCAGCTGAGCCTGTAGACACGAGCTAAGAGCGTTGCCTAAGGGGACTGGGCACAGTGATGCATGCTGGCGCTGGGGGAAGCACCCTGAGTTGACCCTGGGCGCTGAGCATCTCCCATGTAGAGCTGATCATGGCAGCTGGGTTCAGGAAAACCGAGAGAGACTGAATGGTTCAAGTCATGGTCAAAAAACATGTCCTGGCTGCAGCTTGCTCCCTCGCCTTGGCCCACAGGTGAAGGTCTCCTGGCAGGGGCTGGAGGGATGTTTGTTGAGGGCTTTAGCGCGACCTGTTTCAGTACAGCGCAGCGACTTGCCTGAGGCCGTGCAGTGAGTCACTGGGAGCAGCGTTCAGGTCTCAGACCACGTGGCTCTGAAGAGAGGTCTCAGCCAGGGACAAGGGTGCCTCTCCCTTCAAGTCTCACAAAAGGGGAGTTGAAAGGTTACCTGTGCCAAGTGTCCAGGTGGAACGGGCCTGGCCACGAAGCCAAAGGGGTGGGGAGTGGATGGATGCTGTGCTCCCAGCTGCAATGGGTGCAAGGTATGTGCATGTACCTGTACACGTCTGTGCATGCATGCGTGCATGTGTGTGCAGCCTACATGCCTAGCAAGGGAGACGTGCGCTCCAAGTGTCACACCTGGGTGCATGGGTCGGACTCCCAGGGCATCCCTGTTGGGTCAAATCTGGATTGACCCCAGGAGCAGGGAGAACGTCCTGGAGCCCTGTCCTTCCCGGCCCCCCTCGGCACAGGAGGGAGCTGTCCCCTGGGGCCAGCCCAGATATGGGGCAGGGGTGGCATGTGGGGGCTGTCTGTGCCCATGTCCACCCCAGCACAGCGGGGCTCAGTGCAGGCCAGTGTAGGTGAGCTCGGCCATGCCATCGGGGATGGCCCGGAAATACTGTAGGCTGGTGCGATGCGTCTTGCTCTGGTACTTGCCACAGGTCTTGACATACTGCAGGAAATGGGGCGCTCCGGGGAAGACGACGTTATCGGCCAGCACGGTGGCCCCCTCGGCCAGCAGGTTGTGGTCTTCCAGCAGCTGCAGGTCCCGCAGGTAGCAGCGCTTCCAGTGGTCCATGAAGATGAAGTCGGCCTTGAGTAGGCCATGCTTCTCCCTCAGCTGGGGAATCACCTCCTCTGAGGGGCCCACGATCAGCTCCACCTGCATGCAGATGGCGTGGGGTCAGCAGAGGACTGGATCCGGTGACCCAGCTTGGTAAAATGCAGCCACCTCTGGGGTGCAGCCCAGAGGAACATGCTGCTGGCATTTGGGACAGGAAGCTGGGGGGGAATTTCCCAGCTCAGGGGAAGCGAGGGGCAAGGGTGCTGACAGCAAGATCCTGGCTGCATTAGAAGCCGAGGGATTCTGCTTTCCCCATGAAACCCCCTGGATCACTACCTGGCACGTGCAGCTGGGGCCTAGAGCCAAGACTGATCTGTACACCCTACGTGCGTGGGCCAGCCCGTGGAGGTGCTGGCGGGAGCCACTCACAGTGTCCTCGTCGAAGCCGGCCAGGCGGATGACCTTCTCAGCCACAGTGGCGTTGCGGGGGTCCATTTCCACGGTGTAGAGCCGGGCGCCCATGGGCAGGCCCTGGGCCATCAGGATGGTGGCGTAGCCGCAGTAGGTACCCAGCTCCAGCACGGTGAGAGGGGTGTTCTCATAGATCAGGCGGTCCAGGATCTTACCTGCCAGGAGACCACAATGCCAAGCAAAGTCACTGCTCCCTGGTTCCCACCCCCGTGATGGGCATGCACAGCCCAGGGCCAGAAGGCATGTGGGGTGCAGGAAAATGGCAAGGCCGGAAGTTTATCTGCTGCCCTTCCCCACCCCAAGGAGCTCCCTCCTGAGCTTGCTGTTCTTACCTAGCCCTTGCATGAGGCCTGGCGTCCACCCCACAGTGTCCAGCAGGAGGCAGCATGTTCGCTTGTACACACACGTGCACACACCAGCTATCTCATCACCCAGGGGAGCTTTCAGGCACGGAGTGGGGCTGCAAGATATGCTCCCACCTCCTGCCTGGGAAGCCTCAGTGATCCAGGTCCCAGAGAACCAGAAGTGGGGTAAGTCCAGCCTGGTGGAGCCGATCGGCTCTGTGGTCCCTGGAGCCAAGGGCATCACTCTCCCAGCCTTGCTTGCACAGCTGGAGCAGCATCTTGCTCCGCAAGCTGTCCTGGGGGGCAGGTCCCTGCTTCCAACTGTCCCCAATTTCTCCCCCAGCCTGGGATCTCACTCGCAGGGCTGGGCATCCAGCTGAGCTCACTGCTCTGCCCTGCCTGCCATGGGGCCAATGGGTGCTGAGCTCAGGGGCTGTTATAGCCCTGCACCCAAAGTGTCCCCAGAGTGGGGGTTTTGTGGTACTACCCTCAGATGCCAGCCATAGGTGCAATGCAAACCCCTTGCAAGTCCTGAGCAAGACTCCAGCTTGGGTACCCACTGCTCTCCTTGCCTGCCTCTAGTTCCCGGGTGAGCGGCTGTTCACCCCCACTTCCTATCCCACCCCGCTGTGCTGAGTCGTCGTGTGCCACCAGCTCCCACCCCAGAAGCAGCTGCATCAGAGCAGTTGCAGCCATAAAAATTGCCTGGCTCCCCTCCCGCGAGGGGCTGCATAGCAACCCAGCTTGCTAAAAAGCCGCTGGCTCATTAAAGCCGAACGAAGCGGCTGCAAGTTTGATCACAGGAGAAATGTCCTCGGGGGCAGTGAGATGATGCTGAGAAAGAGACAGCATCATACGAAAGTGCTGCCAGTCTGGATGCGTTTATGCAGCCAGGGTTTGAGATGACTCCGCCAGTTCCCCGATCTGAGGGTCTGGGATCACACTGTAGGCAGCGTGATCTCCCCTTGTGGGGAGCGGGGGAGCCTTACCTTTCTGGGGCCCGATGTTGCTGAGATACTCGTGGTGGTTGGCCCAGTGGTCGAAGGTCTCCAGGATGTGCTGGGGGTCTCCGGGGATGGCGTGCGTAAGCACGTACTGGAAGGCGCGCTCCTCCCGGGAGATGCCGGTGGCGTGGTCCCGCAGCCAGCGCAGCAGCACGGCCCGGTAGAAGAGCAGGAAGTAGTGGCGGTAGCGGATCAGGAGGGTCACCACAAAGGGGATGAAGGCCAGGGCGATGGCAGGGGACACCATCTTGGTGACCTGGGGAGCAAGGCAGGGAGGTGAGAGGCTGGGAGAAGAGTCAGGCTGGGAGCAGACGCACACAGTGCACGCACCCCCTCCATCAGGGGCTGGCCCACAGGACAGGATAACAACCTACTGCTGCTGCCAGCTCTCTCTCCCCTGCTCCCTGCTTTTGGGAGCCTGGCAGGTGCTTTCTGGTTGGGTTTCACCTCACACTGGTGGCACATGGACCCTGTGGCACACAGGGAAACTGAGGCAGGGGAAGGGAAGGGCCTTCAGTGGATGAAGAGGGGCTGACACCTGTATTTAGGCACCTAAATGGAAGGGCCCATGGCCCATGCTGGCCTGGCAGTCCCCAAGCGTGACACCAAGGTTGTGCCCGGGCCAGCATCAGCCAGGGCTGTAACCAGACCCAGCCTGGGCCAGCAGCTCCGATTGCACCTTCCCTGTGACCGCAGGGCTGGGAGGCTCTGAAGCCAGGGGCTATGGTTACAGGCAAGGCTGAGCTGCTTACTGCACTGGGGGCCAGTGCTGTGCTCAGGCAGCGCCATCATGGGCATGGCCTCCATGCCCCTGGCTCTACCAGGCTGCAGCTCTGTAAGGCGAGTGAGCCTCCCAGGGCCTCCAAGCCTGGAGCCCTGGAGCAGCTTGCTCAAGGCTCTTTGCAGAAGGCCTGGGGCAGGGATCCTTCCTGCCCTGGAGATCTGGGCAGGAGCGGCTGTGTGGGGGGTATCACCTGGCCCAGCAAGCAGGAGGAGGGGCTGTTCCCATCTCACATGACAGCAGATTCCCCTGGCACGCTGACCCTCTGTTCCCTCAGGGGTTACTAACACAGGCACACGTGCATGCACACACACATGCATATGCACATGTGGAAGCACACCCATGCACACCCACACACGTGTAAGTACTCACATGCACATACATGCCCACACACACACACACACAAGCACGTTAACACACATAAGCATGCCCATGCACCCACATGCCCACACCTGGAAACATGCACACATAGAAGCACGTACATGCACATACCCACACCCACGGACACACATCAACATGCATAGGCATGTGCTCACTTGCATATACATGCACACACACACACGTAAGCATGCACATACACTCCCATGCATATTCATGCACACACACACACACGCTCATACCTGCACACACACGTGTGTAGACATGTGTACTCACACACATGCATGCCCATACCCGCGTGCCCCCCCTGATTCACACGCAGAATCCCTGGTTCCCACGTGCACTCAGGAGAGCCCCAGCCCCTCAGGGTCTTCCTCTGGAGGCCTCTCCCAAACCTGCCACATGCTGTGTCGTCCTCACCCCTGCAGCCCAGGGTGGTGGTGGAGACCCTGGGTGCCACCAGCACCCCCCAGCTCTGCCAGGTTCCAGGTATGCATGTGGCCCCAGGGGGCCGGTGGAGACTGGGCACAAATGAGATTGGACCCCCAGGCTGCTCCAGCTTAGGGCAGGGTCTGTCTCACCCCCCCCACCACCATATTCCTCACTTCCCACCCCTCACGTCCAGCCATACCCACACGCGCACACACACGCAGAGCTGTATTCCTCACTCCCTACCCTTCTTGTCAGTTGAACACATACACATGTGCACGCACGCACACACACATCGGCATCCTTCACTCCCCAGCCCCCCATCCAGCCCCCCAGCAGATAAACCCAGGTCTCGCCCATGGCACCCCTGCACCCCAGACCCAGGGGTCCTTCCCCTTGCCTCTCTGGGCCTCTGCTCTGATCGCTATTTCCCATGGGCAGCATGAAGCCACCTGCCACCTCCTACCTGCCCGTTCCGGGCAGCCTCCAGGTGCTGGCCCCACTTCGTGTGCCGGCCGTGAGAGACCGGGAGCTCCGTCAACCTCGCCACCCTCTCAATTATTGATGGTGCCACCTGAGCCAGTGCAAGCTGCTCCACTCAGGTTACGGACCCGCCCCGGCAGGTCTGTGGGTTCCCCAGCTGGATGCACCTCAACCATCTGCCAGGGGCCAAGCACATGGGGCAGATATGTTGTGCCAAGCTCCTGAATATACCTGGCTCATGTGGTCTGCGCTGGGCACAGGCCAAGGTGCAGGGGGCAGGTGCATGGAAAAGCCAGGGCAGGCCAGGCAGCCCCGGACAGCTCTAGCACAAAGGACAGGCAGCAGGGAGGAGGAAGGGGCGCAGAGTGGGCAAAGGTTGTGCACCCACCCTGGGCACCGCCCCAGCCAGTGCTGCCTGTGGGTGGCCAGGAGCTCAGAGCAGAGGGCACCGAGCTGCAACGGGGCTGACGTGGGATTGCTTCCCACAGCCTGCACGCACACCTTTGTGGTCACAGTGTGAGCAAACCCACGGGGGCACCGATCCCCTTCCCCATGCACTAGAACGAGCCAATTCCTTCCCGCTGGGCAGTAAGTTGGCCTGCCTGTCCCCTGGCCACAGGATAAAAGCAGGGCTGGCAGGGAGCTGCAGAGATCATATCAAGTCCAAGTGCTGCCTGAGGCAGCATCAGCCCTGTCCAGACCAGCCCAGACACATCCATCATCTAAACTCTCAGCAAAACTACAGTCACCTCCGACACAGCCCCAGGCATCACACCCCACCCTGCGCAGGGGAAGCAGGGGGACTGCGGTCCAGCTGCTGTAATAGGGTGTTATACACTGGAGAGATGCCAGGCAGCCACCCCCAGCTGCCCCAGGGCTAGTGTGGGGGCCATGCACATGCCCCTATATACACAGATGGGAGGGGAAGATTTTCCCACCAGACATGGGGCTTCCTCTATCAAGTGACCCCCCCACCCAGTTGGGACGGGGCTTCCCTGGGCTCCACTCCAAGCAGGGTTAACACCTGGGACAGACCAGCCCCCCCCCCACAAAATAGTAGCAGTCCTGCAGCACCCCAACCATCCACCCCAGTCGGGGGGAGACGGTCACCCCCAGTTCCCCGGGAGCAGAGGGGTGTTTGCAGAGCTTGGAGCCCAGACGTCTGGGTTCAGGCTCGCCGGTGGACATGGCAACCCCCTGCTGAAGGGAGATCGACTGCATGGGGGCCCCTACAGAAAAGCTAGCATTAATGGCAGGGGTCTGCCTCACACCCAGTCAGGCTGGAGGAGCACAGGGCTCCTCCTCCCTATCAGACGGTGGCAGACACCCATGCAACAAGGGCCCATGGTTGCACGGGCCGAAGAGGCCACGTCCTGGCTCTGGGATCATAAAGACTGAGCATGACCTGACTCCTGAATCCCCAGGCAGGTGGAAGGTGTCCAAAATCCCAAATTTGCTCGGCTTGCTGGACAGCCTCACGCGCCGGCCAGCTCGGGCGCATCCTCTCGGAGGAACGAAGTGCTCAGAAACGTGTTTCAAATGATCATGTTTAATCTCCAGACAGCTCAGCAAGCACAAGGCTACGGGGCTTGACCACGGACCAAGCAACCTCCAGCAAAGAGTTTGGGGGAATCTTTCGAGGCCACGGGTTGTAGGCAGGCCGCCTCGTGCTGGAGACCTTAATGAGACCTAAGGAGCTTGGAAGGAGGGATTTTGAGATGGGCTTTGAAGAAGGAGAGGGACAAGTGCCGTGAGGTGTTGGTGGAAGATGCTGCTTTCCGTAGGCTACAGGACAGAGCAATCAGGCAGGGAGGGCTGGCAATTATCCCATTGCTCGTCAGCACCTCCTGTGGGATGCTAGTCGGCTTCTCCAAATAGGTGGTGGCAACACAAGCGTGGGGGAAGGACCAGGTGGAGGAGATGCTCGTATCCCATTTGGCCAGGCTTGTCCAACACGCGGCCCGCCAAGCCATTTTCTCTGACCCGAGTTAGGGTGTATCAGCTTGGCCCTGGCTGATGGGAATCTGAGCAGCTCACCCACGGGACATGGCCCTTCTGCTGCAAGCATCTCATGGAGACTCTGCTTTAGATCATGGCCCGGTCTCTGTATCTGAAGTCCCTCGGACTTAAGAGTCTGGGATGGAGGATGTTTGCCTGTAGCATCTGGGGGCATCGAAATCCCAAGGCCTCTGTCCTGATCAAGTGATATTATTTGGAACTGATTTGGCTGACCTGGAACATGATATATATATATATATATATGTATGTATGTATGTATGTATATATGTATATATGTATGTGTGTATGTGTGTGTGTGTATGTAGATCTGAATTGTGCTCTGTGTGAAACGAGAGCTGCTGTCTGCCATTACTCGATGTTGCTGCGAGCCGTCCAAGGGAGGGGACTGGCTCTGATCCACCCACTGCCCATTAGACATGGCTGCATTGTGCAAATAAGCCATATTCCAGCAGAGCTGCAACCGGCTGATACAGTCACCTGGGGCGAGACCAACAGTGCGTCCACACCAGAGCCAGAGGGATGTGGGTGCAAAGGGGGAGCTACCTCGGACAGGAGCAGCGCCTTCCCCTAGGGCTGCACCGCACCCAGCACACATTGGCATGAGCTCGGCAGCCAGCTCTACTTTCCCCTAGAAATCAAGCACCTCCCGGAGGCGCGGTGCTGTGTCCCCTCATCAGCCCGGCCATCGGGTCCACTTGGCAAAGGGGGAAACTGAGGCACGGGGCGATCCGGGGGCAGTGTGTGGCTGCTGGACTCGGGTGACAGCCAGGAGCTGAAAGACCTTTACACGCCTGCCCGGAGATTCCCGCAGGAAGCCGGTGGCAGACCCGGCTCTCTCGCTGGTCCAGCATGCCCGGCCTCTTCCTTGCCCATCTCACTTCATCCGTGGCAGAGCTCCCTAGTGGTGAGCCCCCCTCCAGGGTGTTTGGAGGCACATGCAAAGGATGTCAGTACAGCAAGGTGGTCCTCTCGCCATCACCACCCCTCCCAGTTCACCCCGAATCCTCTTCCTCGTGACAACCAGGATAAACGACTCTGGTCCCTGGGCTGCATATTTTTTCTTCTGTGTGTGCTTTGCCACGGGCAAGATGGCCCCTGCCGTTCTGGCCACGCGCTCAGCACATGGCAGGCTGGAGCCTGTATCCGGGGCAGATATG